GAAACCATCAGCAGGTGTGTGAGGAGGCGGACCAGAACCAAGCGCCTCCTGGTGGAGGAAGGGAGACAAACACAGAATACAAACACACAGACAGGGGTCCTGACACAGGGCAGCTGTGGAATATTACTTTCATCCTGAATTTAGATCCACAGTTTAGTTGTCAGCTGAGCTGAAGTGCTCCAATTTGCTCACATTTCAACATATATTAAATCAGAATGTTGTTGAATTGCTATGTTTTCTGTCTGATATTAGTACTTTAAATTGAGTTTAAGGTTGTATTTGACATTTTTTTAGGCAGTATTGTCCCAGATTCAGACAATGCAGCAGAGGTTAGAAGATATGGAGAATTGGAAAATGGAGGTCAACTTCCCTGAAAGAGCAGAAAACCTGGTGGTCTTCTCCAAAGCCAGAGTGCTTATTGAACAGCTGGATGAGTTGGAGCAAATAACCATGGAGCAAAAGTCTCTGCTGGAGGTATGACCTTACCACCTTAATCCTACATGCTGTATTGCAATCCGAATTATGTTCTATTACTTTGCAGGACTAAGGAGGGTAAAGCCAAAATCCTGGTGCCTCTTCATCTTAAACCTAAGTTTACATTACAGGGTTTCAAATGTATGGTTAATGATCTAACAATGATTTATAACTGAAATTTGTGTCTTTATAATCCCTCAGACAGTACAACAAAGACCTTCTATAATTAAAGACCTGTGTTGATTTGTTTTTTCAACTTTCTTTCAAACACAGAGCAAAATAGAGGAACAAGAATCAACTGTCTCTAGTTCTCCTGAAGAGATACAGGTGCTGGAGAATCCTGCTCATAGAGGCTTTTACCAGGTAACAGAAATGCTTCTAAAACAGTGTGAAACATTTTAAAAGTTGAGGTTTTCTGAAAGATAAATCCCTCATAGAGACATGCTTATTAAACTTTTGAAACTTGCTGGAATGCAACATTTCTAAAGTTATTCGGTAGCAGAGGTGTCAAAAGTATTAATGTTTATTACTCCAGTAGAAGTAAAAGTCCTACTATTTAAAACACTTTTGTAGAAGTTAGAGTATTAATTTAAGCCTCTTACTCAAACAAAAGTGTAAAAGTACCATTTTTAAAACGACTTGAAGCAAAAAAGTAATGCATTAGCCTATTAAAGGAACATTTTTCTACAATTCTGAATAATAACTACTGATACCTAATTTTCTTAGTTTTATTACTGATGTTAACAGTGTCAAATTTAACTTTACATCATCTTGACTATTTAATATTTACAACTATTTTATTTTGGTATGTGGCAAACAACAAGTTTGAGCAGTACCAAGTTCAAAAGAAATTTATTTTCTGTATGAAACTAATTATTTTGATGGTTTTATAATTTTTTGAAATAACAGGCCAGGCCTTAACAAAAATCAGCTTAGATGAAAAAAAAACTAATACCGGTAATTCTATTTCTAAAATGCAACAAGTAGAAAGTAGAGATAATTGCAAAAAAATAAATAAAATGTAAGGAGTAGAAGTAAAAAGATGTCTAAAAAAATAATTACTCCAGTAAAGTACAGATAACAAAAAATTCTACTTATGTAAGGTTAAGAAATGTTTTTACTTTGTTACTTTACAGCTGTGTTCAGTCATTTGGCTTCCTGCTTTGCCTGCTTTTTAGATATAGATAAACCTCTATGTGAAATCTCACACAGCCGACTGAAAAGACAGTCAAAGACATAGTCAGTGAAGGTCAGCAGCAGATTTGGATCTTAGTTTGGCTCCAGTAGATGGAGAGCAAGTCTGAAATGTATTCCACATTTTTCTACGCTAAAAGAACACAGAAAATGTTTCGCATTTTTAGACTTCATAACCAGCAGTCCTGTTTGTCCATCCATCCATCCATCCTGATTTTGCCTCTTTATCTGATCCGATTGTCATGAAACGAGGACAGATGGACCCAGTATTCAAGGAGAGTTCAAAACGTTTATTAAATAAACAAAACAAAAGCAGAGCTGTGGCTTGCGGACACTGCAGGATGGGGAGCGGGGCACCGCCCAATCACAGACACTCTGTAGTGGGAGAAACACAGGTAAGTGACCACGATTATCTGAAAGAAGATAATCTGAGTTGGTCACTTACCTGGTTTAACAGTCCAGACCAAGAATGTCCCCAAGTGCTGCAGTCCCAGAGGTGATGCTGGAAGCTGATCCTGGTCAGGGATCCAGAACAGACAGGAACAGGATCCAGATCAGGCAGGAACAGAAACAGGTGGCAGGATCCAGACTTCCAGTCATCCACAGGCTCCCAGTAGGGTTCAGTGTCCGACTGGGACCAGAAGCATGACCAGGTGGCCACGCACAGGAGCAGACAGGATCAGGTGCAGACAGGCAGGCTCAGTGGAAGAGACGGGACGTAGGAACCGGAACTTGAAGCAGGACTTTAAACTGGTCTCCTCCCTGGAGCCAGGCTTACTTTGTTAAAAAGTGAACCTCCCCACATATTGAGCCAAAAACCCAGAGGACTCAGCGGGGCAGGAACAGTGGATGATCAGGAGACGAGGCAAACACAAAAACCCTCTTTCCACTGGCTGCTAGGATCCTGGACATGAACCAAGGCAAAAACTCAGACAAACAGACTAACAGAAAGACAAGTAATGATCTGGCACTGAATGCTCAGGCTGAATTGAATATAAACCAGAGGAAACAGGTGAGAGAAATAAATTATAATTGAGGCAGGGAGGGAAAACGACAGGTGAAAGGGATTACTAATTAAGGAGCAAACAGACCAGATCATGACACCGATAACTATCTTTTAATGTGTGCAAAAAAGAATTAACTGAGAATAACTGAATCCTAAGTGTTGCTTGGTATCAAGATGGCAAAAGATTTGTCAACTTCATGTCTTGCTGCACATATTTCTGCTAATATGAATATTTGTTACCAGTCATTCACTTGATTACTTTGTGTGAAAATCATCCTTAAATGACAAATACATAATAATGTTTCATCAAAATATTGTCATCTAAACCTTTAGATCCTTCATACTTTGCTTTTCAATTGAATAAATGGTTTTAAAACCACTTCTACCATGAGAGAAGCACCAACATAATGACACAAAGTGACGGAGGAGTCAGAAAGGCTACTTACTGTTCCTGTTTTGTTCCACTCACATGCTTGGTGATTTACTAACTCTCATCCCTGAAATCAGGAGGCTTTTGAGGTGTCTTATTCTGAGGAAGAGGAGGATGAGGGAGATGAGAGTCACTCTTCTTCCTCTGACACTCTAACATGCAGTATTCCAGAGGTAAATCTGAGATATAATTAGAACCTGAGAATAACTCTTGGTACTTTTTATCCTTTTTGGCTTTAAGCACAACGTCTTTAGCATTTCTTTACCTCTTCTATTACTTTTTAGTTATAAATTTCAACCATAGAAAAAAACAGTATAATAATATTTATTTCTGACGAGGAAAAAATATACTGTTTGGGATAAATAAAAAGAGGTTTTCCAGGCTTTCTTTTCACTCATCTTCATATTTTAATGGACCTAATTAAATGAAAATAACACATATGCTGTTGGCTACTAACAAATTAGCAGCTTTTTGCATGAAACAAAGCTGCACATGGCAGGCTTTTATTTTACCTCATAAACTACCTCCTCCACTGTCAAGAGCATCTGCTTGAAATGCTCCTCAGAAGCCCTTCCTTTTATCCATGCAAAATGCAAAGGTTTTGTGTTTGAATAAATCTGTTGGCTGGGATTTTGGTTGCATCTTCATATTTTTCTAAATCCCGTAGGACCTGGAGGAGACGATCAATCTTTCACATGAACAAAGGGAGGATATGTCTGAAATGAATCCTCAGGATACTGTAAAGGTAGATATATTGGAAGCACAATGACAGCAGGTTTGGGTTCGAGGTTTTTGAATAAAGTTTTTAATTTGTCTTTCAGGAGGTGGAGAGCACGGCTCATGAAGCAGACAAATATCCAGAAGAGCCTGGAGGTGGTGTTTTGTATTTGAAGCCTGGGTTTGAAGAAATGTTTGGTCAGAATGCTGGAACTGGAGATGTGAAAGAAAAGGTTTACCAAACCTTTATTCCTGAAACTGTGACTGAGAGTGGTTTGAATGATGAACCCGTTACTACAGATGAAAGGAACATTACTGCAGCTTCTTCAGCCTTGCAAGAATCATCAAAACAGGAGACATTTGACATCAGTCCACAAATAAACTCACCTTTGATAGAAACTGCAGTTAAAGAAACACATCTGATTCCTTCAAGACCTATTACGCCATTTTGGAGGAAGAAACCCTGCGATGAGCACAAAGAAGATGATGACACACACCTATGTTTGTCTCCGACTAACCATTCACATGCGGTAAGTGTCCCAAATGATAACTTTATTAAGTGTGATGTTACCTTGCCTATGTCTGATGTAGAAATATGGATACTTTAAAACAAAACCAATTGATATCTTCTGACTTAATTATTTTCAGGAAGTCTTAAAAGGTCTGAAAGAGCCAAAAGAAGTCAATTTAAGTACCTATAGAGGAATAAAAGGAACTCAAAAATCCAAGGAAATTCCTGATGCTACACCTGGGTAACTAACTGCTTAAGAAAACAAAAAACTGTAGATATTTTAAGCATACTATACAAATATCCTCATCCTGTGTCCCTCAGTTCTCCTGGTTACGAAGATGATGTGGATAATCTGCCCTGGAGTCATCTTTGTACCCATATTTCCACAAAACTGAGCTTTTTAAGAAGAGCTTTGGACGACAAGCAAACCATGATCTTTACAGATGATGGAGAGAAAAGGAAAACGGTTAGAAAAATAATTTTTGAACATATGTTGTCAAGTACATAATAAGGTAGTGATGGAAATAATACATTATTTATTTTCACTACTGTTTAAAAAAAAAAAACTTTTAACCATCAGACCCTTATTTCAGTGTCAAATTGTCAAAGCTTTCAAATTCAAACTCTATAAAGGTTTTCAGCTGCATCATTAAGGCTAATAAGGAACATTGTGAAATGAAGCAAGATTAAAAGAAAGAGCAAGAGTAATGAATTAAACTTTCTTGTTTCCTGGTAGTAATCACCTTGACTTAAAATGAAACTTCTTTTTGATTTGATGCAGGTTTCAGAGGAAGAGATATCTGCTTCATCCGCTTTACAACAAATACATGACACCACTGCTATGATGGGACAAATGCTTTATGAGGTACACACACAGAGTTTAATCTGAAAAAAAAAAGATAAAAAAAGATGACGTTTTATTAGAATTAAATATAATAGTAAGGAATTTAATATGCCATAGGTTTGTCATAATTAATGTAACCTTTCAATCAAAGATGTCACAGCTAAATGGTTTTATGATTTTAAACAAGCAATGATTTTTTTTTTTTACATTTAAACTTTTGAAATGAATTCACCATTTCTCTCTTTTTTTCCTTTACTGTCAGAAAAATCAACGATTTCTGTTAGAATGTGGTGTCATTGTATTGACAGATCAATACAGAATATTATGTAATGGAGATGCAAAAGGAAAATCATTTGCTATGTCCAAGAAATCCAGTTGTATAGAATTACAGTAAATCACAATGTGAATCAACCTATTGTATGAAAATCTCAGCGATTTTATTTTGGAAATCATTAGTAACCGAACAGCATCATGTAGCACCTGTATTATAGAAAGCATACTAATGAAGATATGGATTATAACAACAACCTTTTAGGGTCGCATAGAGCTGTTTAGTAAAGTAGAATGAATAAAAATTTCAGTCTGACAATGAAAGAGAGATTTGGCCTACCTTACAGATGTAACTAGAGCGAAAGGTGGTTCTCCAAACATTCCCATAAATAATAATATTTGAACTTTATTGATCTCACATTGGAGAAATTTACCTCTGCATTAAACCCATCCCCTTGGGGAGCAGTGGGCTGCCACTGTGGGGCACCCGTGGAGCAGTGTGGGGTTAAGGGTCTTGCTCAGTGACATCAGAGTGGATGCAGTGGGATTTAAACTGGGTACTTTAAACCTTCTCAGTGTTTCTAGAGCACTGCTCTAACCCATTAGGCAAACACTCCCCTTATTCCCCTAGAAAGACTGGATTTGTGCAATATTTTAAAATCATTTAAGCCTTGCCTTTTCGGATATAAAGGTTCCTACAAAAGCTGATGACTGTGGTTTTAATGGTGGAAAACTGGTTTTAAAGGTATAAATGTTTTTGACCAATTAGTAAAATTCTCCACTGTAAGATCAATAAACTTAATCAATCAAAGTGTGTAAAAGTGACTTTCTCCTTTGATAATGATCCCCAGGTGACGGCCTCAAGTTCTCCCCATCTAGATGTAAAGAAGAAGATGTATGAGACTTTGCAGAGGGTCCTCCATTGTCTCAACTCATTAACCCACCTTCTGACTCCTAAGGAAAGCTTAGCAGGGGACCCTCAGTTGATGCTGCTGCAGCTGGAGGTAGTTCTCCATCAACCTTTTTACACTTTTATTAACAAACCTAAAAATCTGTTGTCTAAATAAACTTTTTTCCCCTCTGTTTTTTTGTAATAATTATCATTTTTTATCTGATGCTGGATTTCCACACAAAAATGTTCTGACTTCTTTATTTCTGTTCACATTCTGTCGCAGTGTTTATCAGCTCAGCTGGTTACTATGACTGAGCTGATGGGTAAAATGGAATCGCAGATCAGACCTTCTTTACTGGTGGAAGAATCAGAAGCTCAAAGCTGTTTGACGTCCCTTCAGGATTATCTTCATATGGTCCAGCTTCTCCTCAACTCCTCCCACAATCAGCTGGTGAAACACTCAGGGCTACAGAACCAAGATCAGGTTTGATATTTTACAAACTGCCAATATTTTCCAGAAATGTGTAAAAGACCATCCCGTGATTTATTCAATTCAAGCACCACCTGGAGCAAAAATTAGGTCTACTTTGGTGCAGTGAGGAGTTCATGGTGCACTCATTGGTCCGTTAGCTGGTATAGAAACCCAAATCATCATCTTATCACTGCTTCACTTTTGGCTTCGGGTGTTTTAATTGATAATTAAGTTTGCTTATTACCAAACAGAGCACAGTGCATTACAACTAAACACATTTACTTAAAAAAGTAGCATTATTCCAGAAGTACTGTGCTTTATTTAAACGATTCAAAGCTTAGAGACAAAACAATCAGACCTTACGGTAAAATTGCTGGGATGTTGACGCCCATAAATATTGAAGAGCATCTTACAGATTTTCCGTTTTCTTGTCATAAAATTGGCATCAGTTTGGAAATGGAGTTCTTACCATAGATATCCATAATAAAGGCTAGATGTCTCGTCCGCGCTGCTGGCCAATGGGGGTCGACGTCCGCACGTGGCGGCCATCTTGCCACAGGCAGCTCGCTCATTCGTAGCATTGTGTTTCAATGGCGCATGTACTGAAATAACCATAACTTCCTCAATTGTCTAACTATTCTCAAACTGTTTGGTTTGTTAAAAAAAAGTACAAACCTACTCAGTATTGGCTGAAACCACTATTC